CAGAGGCTCCAACGGTTGCACCTGGGACTGGTATTATTGCTAATCCTGGTAATACTCCAGCCCCTGCTGGCACTAGGACCTGTATCTCAAGAACTGGTGTTGGATATTCAGTCCGTCTTGTCTGCAATCTATCATACAACAATAAGTCAGTGTCTGATGTTACTTTCTCTTGGTCCACTCCTGGAGGAGGCAGTCAAAGTGGTTCTACCATTACAGCTAGTTCTATTGGAGACTATACTTGCACTGCTAGTAATCCGTGTGGAAGTAGTCAAGCAACAACTGAAGTTCTTGGTAAGGAAAGGAGAAGTGATTATAATCCAAGACCTTTTTATTTCTTATTTTCAGGTCGTGTAGAGCTGATAAAAGGAGAATCATATATTTATATTGACCAAACAATTAACATAGGCTCATGGCTCTGTATCAATTCAAACATTTCAGTCACAGTCAACTGCAATACAGCCTTTGGTACTAATGTAACTAGAACATGGCATAGACGAGGCAGGGTCATAAGTGGTGTTACTGGCAGCAGTTATAAAGCTACGCTTAGTGATGTAGAACGCGGTTGGCTCTATTGTGAAGTTATGAATCCTTGTGGAAAGGATGTGGCATTTTCACCAATTTTTGGTGAGTTCTAAATTAAGATAAATGGTTATAGCATCTCTCATCACTGATGTTCATCTTATATGCAGGTCAGGCTCCTGTCACTATTAGGGGAAGGATTTCAGTTCTTAATATATTAGACAATGGATGCACTCGTCCCGGTATAACCAATACCACTGGTGATCTTTGCCCTATTGAGGGAGAGAGAGTTGAAATTTCTTGTTCTACTACACGAGGATACATAATCAGTGGACCTGGTGGAAGAAGTTCAGATAGACCTCTTTTTATAAGAAACTTTCATCTATCAGACTCAGGTATATACTTTTGTACATCTACATATACTCGCTGTGGTGCTGCAATGGATTCTATTGTTGTCAGTGGATCAGGTCAGTCAACTTTATAATTAAATTCTCTTATTATTCATTCTCATTATCAGGTGTGCCTCCTTCAATTAGCACTAATCTTCCTGCTACAACTTTCACTCTACCTTCAACAATAATGAATGCTACAATCCCTATTGGATTTGCCATCTGTTTATTAGACCATCAGTTTGTTACCATTGATTGTAGGACTGAGAGTGGTACTGAGCCTATTAGGTTTACATGGACTGCTGCTTCAACTGGTAGTAGAGTAATAGCAAATGGAATGAGAATAACTGTTAATAATACTGACGTGTATACTTGCAGTGCTACCAATGCATTTGGTACTTCTACTGCCAGCTCTACAGTTGAACGTAAGTGGAGCTCATTTATATTTTTATTCATGTTTTACTGTTGGACATAAAGAGTTTTTTATATCAAAAATCAAAACATTTTTGTGTATCAGAAAATGTAATATGAATTTTTTTGTCCATTTATTTTAAGATACTCCTGCTGTTAATGTAACTGGGGAAGTGGAGGGCATTTTAGGGAATGGATGCTCCGGAACTGACACTCGTAAAAGAATATGTGCTGAAGTTGGATTGAGTATCACCATAATGTGTGCTGTGGGCCCTGGTGACACTTATACCATCACTGGCCCAGGGGAATCATCTAATAATGTACCACTAGCATTTACTGTTGCTGATAACAATTATGGTGATTTTACTTGTACTTCTACTAATCCCTGTGGCAATGTCACTGATATCATTCGTCTGGAAAAAGCCGATTGTGAGTGAAGAGGAAAATATAAATGCAAAGTATTATAAGATTTTGTTCCTTATTCCAGGCTCTTGTTCTATCCCCGATGTAACTGTATCTATCCGAAAAGGTGGTAATACTTGTGGTAAACAAGACATTACTGTTAGTGTTAGTAATAACTAGTTATTTGTATTTATTCCTTATTGTAATTCAATTGTTTGAGTTAGTTATGTTGGCTGAGTAGAGTGATTATTACTTTTTTTTAATAATATTATTTGATTGAAATTATAATTGTGTAAGAGATTGCATTCCAAAACATGATATTACTTATTTTGTCTTTTAAAAATTTTTAACTTGCACATGTAGATCTATATATTTTGATCAAAGTTACATACCTTCCATTTTGTAAGTTCTTTAAGCTGGAGCTATGATGGTATCACAGAGCTTGGTTGATTCACCACTGACAGTTTAAAATTAAAAAAAAAATTTTATTTGTTATAAAAAATAAGGAAAAAACACAAATTCAAAAAAGTCTTTAAAAAGAATAATTATTTCTAAACAATAAACTACTAAAAATGACATCACACACCTCAGTTTACATATTAAAGGCAACTATTATCAAAATAAAAAGGAGGAAACTATT